TTAGAATAACAACATAGGGACAAAGCCATGCCTTCTGCCATTCAATGTCAGATATAATCCGTTAACCTTTGTTTCATAACGGAAAATTAGCTAAATGTTCAATCTTGGAAGCTAATTCAAAACAAACTTTTACTTTGTAAAAGAAGATCGTTGGAATCACTGGAGGTAAAGTGTAGTGGCTGTTGAAACAGGATTTTATTTATTATCAGTTGTAGGCCCCAGGCCTTCTCAAAATAAACAGATCAAAATCAAATCTATGCACATACGGGAGTTCTGCTGCCAGATCAGCACCTCATCACAACCCTTGGTGAGCATTACAATTTAAGTATTTTAAACTAAGGTGGGAAGTAACTAAGAACAATAATTTACAGTAAGTACTGTACTAACGATTTTGATATACTAGTAGTTCTACTTTGTACTTCTAACCCACTACAATTCAGAGGTAAATAGTGTACTTTTACCCCACAAAATGTATTTAATACCTTTAGTTACTTTACAGATGTGGATGAATGATGTGAAATATAATCAAGTCTTAAATCAAACTTTAATTACACCTGGAGTAAATTCACAAGCTACCCTGCAGTATACAAAGTCATTACATTACTTTACATTACATATCATTTAGCTGATGCTTTTTATCCAAAGCGACTGGTTTCCGACTCACCCTGACCGGGAAGTGGAGTGGAGACAGAAGTGTTGTGAGTTAATGAACTGGCAAAAACTGTTTTACAGTGGTTGGGCCAACAGATATGGTGAACCTGCCTCCCCAGGTTGCCCCTCACCTGGCTACTCCTCTAAGCCCTCCCGGAACAGCCCCCAAAGTTCCTCCCAAAAGTCTCCCCTGAAAGAAAGTATTTTTCGGAAATTTCCAGTGAGACTTTCAGATCACCCTGACTGAAAAAAACGTATAGCACACACTCCTAGACATGTGACACCCAGTGGGCCTTTAACAAAAAGCCCCCACTAAAAGACCTGCAGCAACCAGTGAGCATCTGAGAGTGTCCCGGCTAAAGGACCAAGGGAGTAGGACCCAGTTTGGCAGCTGGTGGCAGGAAAAAGGCGCAAAACCACATGGTTATTTGATTGATTGATTTATATACTGCATTGTCTTGTTTATGTTTCTTATGCTGGTGTTATCTATTGTGTATCTTGTTTTTTATGTATTTGTACGGCGACCTTGAGAGCCTTGAAAGGCGCCTATATAAAATAAATGAATTATTATTATTATTATTATTATAAAAGGTACTAATTTATGTTTTAAATATAATAATATAATACAAATTCCATTCTTGTTGTTACAATTGTTGTGATTATATAATATAATCTTTTCATTGTATTTTTAAACTATAACCCCCCCATTGTGTTTTCTTTGTCTTTCAGATGCAATGCAATACGTTTTCTGGGATCAGTCAATACAATATTAAAAATAAAAAAGGAAATGTCTCAGTTAAAGGTAGGGTAGGTAAGTTTGAGAAACCGGCTCGAGATCGCTAGAATTTGAAAATACACAACCGGAGAAAATCTGCCACTTCCTTACAGAGCCCCTCCTCCAACACACACGAATGCGCACATGACCAATGAGGGCACGAGATAAGTTTGTGCACAGATGGAAGGCTGACAGGCAGGTAGGCCATCCAGTTATTTTAGCCGGGCCGGCTAAAATAATTGGTCGTGCTTTTTACAGTACTACGGCTTCCACAGATGATATTTTTTTATGGATTTTTTGTCAAAGCACTTAAGATATTCATTGCTATCGGGATGTTAAGAGCATTCCATGGAATATAACAAAAAGTGTATCTCGAGCCGGTTTCTCAAACTTACCTACCTCACCTTTAAGCTTCTAAGGTTTTAAGGTTGATGTTGGCAGTTCAAGTGCCAGGAAATAAAATGTTGACATCTTGACATTGAGAAGAATAAAGTTGAAATGTTGTGAATCAATTTTGAACTTTGGAAAATAAATAATACTCGTAGCGTTAGCACGTACACAGAAAGTTTACATTTATTCTTGACACTTCAGATTCATCTATGTCATGGAGAAAAACAAAATTCCCTGGCCCCTAGTACTCACAACAGAATAGTATAGAAGGCCAAAGAAAATGTAATATTGGAAACCGAAACAGAACTAGAGGAGCAAAGACTTTTACTACAATTTTACCCACACTCTTTATCTTGAAAACGTCAATACTTTGAACGGTTTTTAAGCATATATGATTCTGAAATGCTAACGTTAATCATTAAAGATAAAAGCACTTGTTATGATAATGTAACATCTTACTTTTCTTCCTGGTTTTGTCAATTTTGTTGACCTTCGTAGTTTCCCCGCTTTCACTATTCATGCTAAGCTAACTTGTAGCATGCTCCACCTATTGATGTTTCTGGTGGCTGCCTGCCTCAGTTTCTCAGGAATACATAACACACAGAGACATACACTGACTCACATACTAGCTAACCTTGGTAGGAGTCTGATTGGAATAATGACTAATGTATAATGATTCACTGGAAAGCAGTTGGAATTCATTTTAGTAGGTTTTGACAAGTCTAAAAAAAGTCTAGAGCCTTGCTAGCAGTTCTGTGAAGCTCATTGCTTTAAGCTAAATGATAATGTCAACAGGCTTACATGCATTAAGTGACAAGGCTGATATTTAGCATATATAGCATAGGCTATTCTGGTGTGATTTATGTATTAGTTGTGTTTGTTAGCATGTTAACATTTACAATTAGCTCAAGGTATAACTGAGGCTGATGGGAATGTCATCAGTTTTGCAGGTACATTTTTAATCTAATATGGTGCTTCAGGGATAGTCCGAGGACTAAGAATGACAATTAATCCTGAGAAGGTCATTTCCAATATAGGCTACTATGACATTTAACCCAATACGACAAAAGTCACCTCAAAAATAGATAAATAAGAAAAAACAACATTTATGACACTTAAAGAGTTTTGTTTGAATTGAACCTTTCCTTTAGGATTTTGTGATTCATGTGGCTAGAAGTAAAAATCAAACGTAAGACTACTGGTGCAACAACGTTTAGTAGTCTTCTAACAATTTTTTGGCAACATGTACAAACTCAAAAACGAACGAGTTGGGTATTTACTGACGTATTTAATGTTGTACAACAAAACGTAGCATATAGCCCTCCATTAGAATTTGTCATCTGGGAGCTACTGTATAATGCCCATACACATGTTGTACAAATTCATATTTATATTTTGAAATTTACTTTATTAGTAAACCTTTAGAAAATGTAATGACATACCATCTATTAAAAGATGTTTCAGTCTGGACAGATGTGGTTGATGTTGTCATCCCATGAGCAAAGTTGCTCCAAGGGACCATCTTTACACTGCATGTACAGTAAACTATGATTTTTGAATACATTTCACCTGCTGAACACAAAGGGGTTGAGCAGAATGACACTACAGAGCATTTGTCATTATAATTAACCAAACTAAAGTAGAGGCCGCCCACTATCTGTGTCCGCAGCAGCTACAATACTGGAGCTGCTGGATGTCGTGGCTGGATATGGGTGAGTAATGGCTGATATGCTTCATAATTTCCAGCTTATCTGCACCGTCATATGAAGCCGCTGCTGTCTGTATACAAAGTGAACTTAATGAGAGATGCTGTTTAGCGGCCACAGCCGGTGTACCTCTAATAATAACAGTGAGTGGCACACAAAAGACCTTCACATGCCCACATCTCATTTTCTCAACCAGTTATAAATACTAATGAGAAAAACATTTTGAAAAGGTCAGCCTACAAACCGGTGCTGCTTCTCATTATGTACCAGATATATTTCTGGTCATATCCACAAAACAATTAGTAACTCACACCGAATTAACCAAATATGACTCCAGACAGCCTTTTAGAAAGGGCATATATGTCCAAAATTAGAAACATTGATTTATGTGCACTTTACTTTTTAGTACACTTTGTGTGAACGGACGTAACCTTGGAGGGAACTGACAGAAATATGGTCACAGCAGACGGATTGTGAGTACAAGAGAGCGGGGAAGAGGTGGCCAGCTTTGGGAAGAAAAGGGGAGGGAGGGTGAGAAAGAGATTTATCGATCTTGGAAAGAGCTCAAAGACATGTCCCAATTCAGTGATTCAGAGATTTGGCTCACAGTCAGCAAGGTCGAGCTGGTGCTACTGCTGGTCAGAAGAATATGAAAGAGGACAGGAAGTCTTATATACCTCCAAACTTTTCTCTGAATTGGTACTTCAGGACTTACTTTGAACTGGTAATAAAACACTCTCAATTTTAAATTGATGCCTTTATACGACATTGGTACACAAGACCATCAGTGAGAACATTGGCTTTTTCTATATGGTTCTCCTAATTCTTGTCATTGGTCAAATATGGCCCTTTAGTTTAACAGTTTATCCCAACGGCCATGTACTGGTATGACCCTGATAGTTGATTTGGCTTGCCCAACACATTCTAAAAACAACCTCTTCTTCAGATGATAACAGGACAAAGCTGACGCACAGTGAGAGCAATCTATCCTTGCTAGGAACAGAACTTGCTTTGACTAGTTATCAAATGTTGATTATTCTCTTAGGAATAGGTACATATTTAGGAGTGAGCAAGAGAACTTCAGAATTGGTTGGGCAGGAGCTGTATCACTTCGTTGCTGCAGCAAATGTCTTTGTCAATTCTCCGGCCGTGACTTCCAATAAACCTTCAGTGTCTGATATTAGTTGGAGCTCTTCAGTGTTCTCCTTGTGTTTCGAGTCCATCGGTTTTATCACAGGTGCCCAGCCCAATTTTGGTGAAATTAAATGCAATCCTACAGGATTACCAGAAACTTCTTCCGCTAAGACTTGCAGCGAGGCCTCAGGCAGTGAATAGCCCGCAACAGACAGACCCAGATCTAACTTTGCTGTCACCTTTGACCGACAACGGCTAAAATAGTATGAATAAAATCATGCGAAAATGTTATGCAATGCATCAAGCTTAATCAAACTATAAACAATGTATATTTACAGACGATGTGTCATGACAAGCACAGTTTTTAATTGTCTCAAAAAATGTGTTAGCATATCCAGATAGACTTTTCCTCAAAAATCTTCATTGGGTGAACAGCAAAAATGACCACATTGGTGCCGAATATGTCACAACTTCATAAACACAGACACAACCACAGTGTAACAAGCCCAGCGAATCAAGGAACCAAACTGACCAGCACACAGTATGCAACACTTACTAACAGAAAGCAGAGATCTTCGGAAAGGCGGAGCATGAAACACCACAGAGATTATACTAATATACAGTCCAAGTTTTGAAAAGGGCTGCACTGTGCCAAATTCTTATCTGAAAATACATGTTTTGGTCTTAAAAGCAGCAACAGAGCAAAACATACTTTCAGGCATGGAACATTTTCTCAGTTCACAGGAAGTAGCAAACCGGAACAGAAGAGTAGTGCTATGTCGATGATGTATTTTACTGATGTCACAATACATGATTGCATCTGTTTCCCATTGGGGTGGTGGATAAGTGCAATGCTGCTTTGTGCAGCCATGTTCCCACACAGTTTGGTTTTGAGTCCGTAATTAGATACAGTATACGGAGAACGCCCCTTAGTGTTCAACACCAGAAAATACATGTCGTACAGATTGATAGAACTGCAACTGCTGCACAATTTTCCCTGTCCGGTGTAACAGAAAAAGCATCTGGAGCATTACTGACTGATAACTGCAAATAAATTAAATAGGGAATTATTGTACTTTCATTTAAAATCAATTTGAGAAGTGTAGGCTTTGCTAATCATACATTTAGGCAAATAACATTACTAAAACTTACAATGTGGTAAACTATCTCCATTAGTTAATGGTTCAATATACAATGTCAATTTTCAAAAATGTGACTTCCAACATACAGTAGTGAAGCAACTGAATTGAATGAAATAGCCTGTTAACTCATTCGCTAATACCACAGGAAGTTAGCATTTGATGCTAACATGTGGCATACAGTGTGTGCGGCCTGTCCAAAAACTGTTGCAAAAGTTCCCATTTTTCATTGTTCTTGAAGTTAACTTCCTGACCAGAAAAGATCTGAAGGAGTTATTTTGCAAACACATTGGGAATTACGGAGGTTTCAAAATGGTTTTACTTTCTGGCGACTTGCATATTTACAGAGATAAATGTGGCACCGAGGCATAAGAGCGCCACTACACCGCCATCTCATCCCCTAAGCAGTCCGGTAGACTTTCTGCGTTCAGCACGTTTAAGAGACGAGCAGCACCGTCAGCCCCCCCCACTGCATCCCCCTGCCCCAAACTGTCCCGGTCATCACTCTCATCTGTGTTCGACTCATACTCTGACCCGATACCCGACTCCCTGAACCGGAGCAGCTCCAGAGCTCCCAGGACCTGTTCCCCCAGCGGCGAGTAGTCGTCCGGGCCTCCGTCGCTGGGGGTCTCCCCCGAGTCCTGGACCTGCTCCTGGCTGTCCGGCTGGCGGGAGGAGAAGCGGAAGCACTCAAGGCGAACTCCACTGCCGGGGAACCCCAGAGGGCTGGTGTCGGTGCACAGGGTGCCAGGAGAGCAGGGCCCGGGGAGGGAGGAGAACCAGGGGCTGTCAATAATCTGGACCTGGGATTGAGCTGCAAAAGAGCCCATCGATAAAGAAGAGCTGGGTGGTTTGGTGCGGAAAGTGATCTCCAGAAGACTGTCCTGGGAGCCCACTGAGGAAGGGGGACAAATATAAAATTAAGAATGTGTAAGATGAAACTACTTTTTTTTTTGGCTGATAACTTTCAGAAGTTTATCTCATTACGTACGGGATATTATTGTATCTCATACGTCGAAAATAAACAAAAAAACACTAGAAAAATAATACATCCAATATTTTCCGCAAATGATCCTTTTTAAACTTTGCCTCTCAGGGCTTCCATACAGAACAAAGCAGAGCGAGATTTAGTAGTTATCGCGTTAACAGAGATACAAGACATGAGAAGTGAGGTTTGAGCCAAGATGAGGAGATTACACGGACAGGGATAAAGTCTGTGCTGACAGGATTTAATAATTCATGACTATAAGGTAGCATATTGCCACTGGCTAAGTGCAGTAAAGAGAGAGCAGAGAGCAGTATCGAACCCGCTGAGAGCGCTGCCATTGGATAATTAATTGCGTGCCAGAAGTGGATGAAAAAGGGGCCATGACGACAGGAAGGAAGCAGGGATTGAAAGTGGGAATAGGGAGGATTTTATGACAGAAATGATTGAGAGGGGAACAGTAATAGAGAAATATTTGATGCATCCAAACTAAATATTAGAGTAAAAATGTCCACTCACTAGATGTTAAGTGGCCTGCAGCTTTGAGCTCCAGCTCCTGTATCTGTTTGACCAGCAGGGAGATGTGTTGCAGCAGGTCGGTGTTCTGCAGCAGCAGCCTCTGCACCCTGGCCTGCGTTTCAGTCCGCGCACACACCTCCCCCGACAGCTGGTCCTGCAGTAGATGGACCTGGACGGGCCAAAGCTCATATCGTTAAGAACATACATACCATCCTGTCAAGAGGAAACCTGCTTATTAAATTCCACAGTGGTTCAGAAGTTTGGATTTGACTCTGCCTTTTTCAGACAGTATTGGCTTCAAGGAAAGTCTCTCGTTTCTCCAGAGGGCATATTAGACGAGACAGGCTGGAAGCGGCACATCAGCATTATGAATGAACTTCTGTCAGGAGATCGGCCGATGTAAAAAAGCAAACTCTGAAAAATTGTTTTCTTTCAGATGTTCAAAGACCTTTAAACCACAGCTCGGGCATTTTTTATCTAAAGTTAAACTTTTCAAAAGTCTAAGTGGTGGTTTTAGAGGAATGAAGGGTGAGAATTTAATCACCCAAAATGTCTCGCCACATCCTATTTAGCGCTGATTGAAAATGGAAGAAGCACATCACGTCACAACATTTATTAATTATCCTGATGAAGGGATTTTGATCTGCATCTTTACGTCATTTGACATTTGAATTGTTCATTGGACTTAAAAACAAACATGCTCATAACATTATTTTAAATAGATTCTCGTCTATGATCAATATGTTTTTAGCCAGACAACAATGCTCCCAGTGTGGCAATGTCACGGTGATGGTCCTTGACATTATTTAATGTCAACATTTGCAAAAATGAATTTATGTAAAACTTTAAAGAGGCCCTATTATCCTCTCAATCACAACAGAGCCGGCCAGCTAACCAATCAGAGCAGACTGGGCTCTGGTTTCAGACAGAGGGTGAAAGGAGGTGCTGCAGCACAGGCAGTATGAGAAAAATAAAGAGCTTTTTGAACATTAAAGCATGGAGACATGTCACAGTAAAGGAATAAAATACAAATATGAACCTGAAAATGAGCAATCTAGTTGGCCCAATATGAAAATGTGTATTTAAAAAACGTAATTTATTTTTACATATATTTAAACCTATTTGAGTTGTGACTATATTTTAAGACTTTTGCCTTTAAACTCAACGCTAAAATACACATTTCCTCATTCATCTGCCTGTATGTATGTGAATAAGTCTTACGATGACTAAATTGTTTCCCCATGGAAACCACATAAACTGCAGCGAAGATATGATTTGATTGGTTTCTGAACTGCCTGAACTGTACACCTTTACACCAGTAGAGAACAGACGGATCAATGAAGAGAAGTCTGTTACCAACATCAGCTTCAAAGTGTCATTATCCGGTGCAGACGCAATGCGCCAGGCGACAGCTGCTCGCTGTCTGAAAACACCTTGAATCTTGTTGATCTATATTGGGGTCCAATATGTTCTATGCTATAAATCAGGCTATGAATGATTCATAAACATCCTCCTATGTAAAAACCTCCAGAATATAGATTAGGAATGAAACCTGCTGTTTGGTGTATGTAAATGCTACTGAATTGGATAGTTATAGCTCAGACTTTGAGAAAAAACTTATTTTGAAAAAACCCCACTTAAATCATAAATAAATCAAAGACACTAGTGAATAAGTTAAAGGTGGGGTAGGTACGTTTTAGAAACCGGCTCGAGATACACTTTTTGTTATATTCCATGAAATGCTCTTAACATCCCGATAGCAATGAATATCTTAAGTGCTTTGACAAAAAATCCATAAAAAAATGTCATCTGTGGAAGCCGTAGTACTGTAAAAAGTACGACCAATCATTTTAGCCGGCCCGGCTAAAATAACTGGATGGCCTACCTGCCTGTCAGCCTTCCATCTGTGCACAAACTTATCTCGTGCCCTCATTGGTCATGTGCGCATTCGTGTGTGTTGGAGGAGGGGCTCTGTAAGGAAGTGGCAGATTTTCTCCGGTTGTGTATTTTCAAATTCTAGCACACTCGAGCTGGTTTCTCCAAAATTACCTACCCCACCTTTAATAAGTATAAAATACATTGTAACTGATAGCAACCATTAAACATCTTCAATTGATTATTGATATTTAGGGAATCATTTAATTACACATCTTCTGAAATGTTTTGTTTTCAAAATTGAAAAAACATGTTTCACCTGTATTATCTGGCCTGAATTTAGATAAAAGGCTAGATTAAATAAGAATTTAACAAACTGTAAGCACTTGAAAGGTAGTTACATGCCATAGCTGTGGTTCTACGGGGAACAAGACTGGCCCTCATACCTGCTCTGAGGCAGCCAGCGCCTGCTGCTCCTGCTGACGCAGCTGTTTCTGCAGCAGATGGACCTGGTGCTCCGAGAAGCAGGGGGCCTCCTCTGCAGACAGAACCGACACAGAGGCTCCGAGGAGGGGGGAGCTCAGCAGGAGAGACGGGTCATCTGACACCTGCAACAGATAGCCCAGTTAATGGGGCCTAACTTCTTCTAACGCCCTAAAAAAAAGAAAGGAACAACAAACTACATTTTCAAAACCGTGATGGTGATATCAAAGGAAAAACTTGATGGCTAATTTAAACCTTAACAACAAGGGTTTGTTCTTAAATGACGGGGTGACGGAGCGCACTCTGGCTAAAACCGGACCCTATGTAAACTCATAGACTTGCCATTCATGTGCAGCTATTGTGTAAAAGTACATTTTTAGCCATACTATTTAACAAGACATTTAGCTAGCTAACTAGTATACATTTTCTCCAACTCCTTCCATTAGCTTTAGCCAATTTTTTCTAACTAAAGTTTTTCATTTACATGTTCGTTAATTGATATTGAACAACGCTCTCATTACGTGCAGAGCGTCAAATTGGAAGAGTAAAATAATCTAGCATATTAGCACTTGATAATAATATAATAATAATGATGTAACTCAAAAACATATCAAAGCAGGAGTACAAATAGTTGTGGATAGTTTGTACAGTAGATGTGAAAAAAGTTAAGTGTTGAGTAATATAGCCAAGGATCCTAAATAATTGAGTAACAGTGGAAAGTAAACCATCATGAAAGATTGTGTGTAACACTTCAAAGACGTGGTTTAAAGTTTCTCAGCCAATCTAAGATCCCTGGGGAGGAGAAAGAGACTGCAAAGAGACCGCCAGCAGCATAAATAAGTTTCATTCTGACGGAAAAAGTCCACCAGATGTCATCATTACTGCATGATCTTCACCCTTCCAGAAGACACTCCATGTGATAAAGGCTTAAACCTGCTTCGTTCATTCAATGCTACGTTAGCAAGTGATATGATTTATTCTGACATTTTCCCCAAATAACTTCCAAAATCTGGGTGTCTTTGTGTCTGGATGAATGCTGGTGAGGGGGACTGGCAAAAATGTTTAAAAGTGTTATGATCAATGCTATATCTATTATGTCAAGCTGCTTAAATAAATAATAAATAAAGAAGGAATTGTTTTTCACACCAAATGAAGATGAATGAAGACACAGTGGTTTGTTTAGCGAGGCTGCTGTTGATTGATGATCTTGTATTTCTGCCTGCTCATGTGATACATTTCCATTTGAATTACAGGTGAAGAGCTTGTGATGTTGAGAGGCTGACACACAGGGGTGGAAGTTACATTACTCTTGTTATTGTAATAATGTAGTGTTTTTGTAAAGGCTAAACTTCTCAGACTATTTTTAAATATCATGAGGGTGATTTTTGCTTTAACAAATTAAACGAACTAGTAGTCTAACTATGTCCCTAAGCATCTCCATTACTTCCTGTCTGAGATATTGCAGGGACAGACGTAGGTCAACTTTGACCACCAACACCTTACTAGTGCATCCTTAAGTCCAAGTGGAGGTTTGCGCCAAATTTGACAAAAGATCCTCTACAAGCTTTCCTGAGATAACACAGCCTGAAAAAACATTATGCCTCACCAGCCAAATGTTTTCATTCATACCAAACAGATGCATGCTGGGTAAGGCTAACAGGCTAAATGCTAAAAATGCGATTGTTGGATCTTCTTGGAAATTCCGCGTTTCTCAGATGCTGTTTGACTGCCGTGAAGGTTTGCTCAGCTTGTTTCTTTGATAACTCTACGTTCAGGTATAACATCTTTTATTTGGTTAAAATACTGTCGAAACGACCAAGATCTAAAAGTTGGTTTTAAAACAGTATAAAAAATCAATTTATGACTTCTGTCTGGCAGGCAACCACAACCAGACAATGCATGCCATTATAGGTGACCAAATGGAAGGGGACGTACCTTGAATCAAAATACAGAATGATCTGGTTTTGACAATTGTTGGAAACATTTAGCAGGGGTTTTTCTAGAAACATATAGAGAGCCTAAGTCCCTCCCTTTCCGGTGGTCCACCATGGGACCTTATTTCGGAAAAAATATGTATCGTAGTCAATGGCGAGAGAGAAATCATTTTTTTGATCCCGTTTGAATTTTGCCATGAATTACACATTATGATGTTTGTCAATTACATTTTTTTATTTCCAAGTCAAGAAAGTCACAGTTTGTCGTAAAACTGTTGAAATATAAGACTGAAAATACGCAACTAGAAAGACCACAAATCCAAGCGTAAGTGATGTCATAACTCGTTTAACACTCACCAAAACCTTGTACAGCCGGTCCCGCATGCTGGCTCTTACGGAACCGACTTACTTCCCTTTTGTGTAATAGCAGCTCTCAACATGCCCAGACGTGTAATGATTTTCAATGATGTTCAATGATTTTCAATGATTTTCATTCTGAAAGAAAGAGATGAAATGTGCCAATGTGACGGCCATCTTGGTGTTGGTGACGTGTATTGTGCGAGACCAGAGATGTAGTTCATTGAGCGGTTTCACACAAAAAGAAGTGTTACTTCACAGTTTTACAACAATTTTTTTGTCACATCATACAGTATGTGTAATTCATGGCACAATTCAAAGAGGATCGAAAAATAATTTCCCTCTCGCCATTGACTACCATACATATTTTTTCCAAAATAAGGTCCCATGGGTCGAAAGTAGAAGGGCGGGACTTAGCCTCTCTATGAGGGCGCTAACGTCCCTGCCGGCCAAAATTACAGCCCCGCCCACCTCAAACAACAAACAAATCCTCCTTCTTTACTTCCTCTACAGAAAAAAGGACAGTCAAAGAAACAATCTAATTCAGAAATCACTGTTTCAGTGCAAGCCTGCTGCCTGCCACCCGTCCACCGGCAGACCGAACGGACATCGATCCCCTATTTATCCAGAGCTCCGTAAAAACAAAGCTGTCTATGTCGTCTGAAGGTCTATTTGACAAGATTTATTTCATATTCTTGGAGTAATTATTCAGTTTTTGATGAACAGAAATATTGTTTTCTGGCATTACTTTAAAATGTTATGGGGAAAATCTGCATTTTGGTATGAGGGCGCATGCCGAAAGTAAGAGGGCGTTTAGACAAAACCCTGTTTAGGGAAACGTAAACAACAAAATCAAAAATATAGCTCTTAGACATTTGACTTTTAGGGAAATGTTACCTATTAAACATTCAAATAGCGGGTTACTTTGATTGATGATGTACAACACACGCATGACAAATCAGTCATATTGTACATGTTAGTCCCATCATGCTCAAGAAATCTCAAGAGTACAGTCATTAAATCTAATTGTTAGGAGGGCTTACTAATGGGGATTTAATCAGTGGAATCAATACAGGTTGAATGGGCTGGCTGCTGTCCATTCGGGAATCATGACTCACACAATGATGTTAGAGTGCTCCTGTGGGAAAAGGCATGAAGGCAAGGCTTAGCCGTCTTATACCTGAGATGGGAGATCAATATGGTGGGGTCTTTTGTCCTTAATGCCTAAATGTGAAGGACACTTGACCTTCAAATCACACACAAGGGAGGGAGAAATCGTGACATCAGACATGAAATACTGCTGTTTGAGTTGCAGGGTTGCATTCACTATTAGAGCACATTTTCTCGGGCTCACATATAACTCGATGTAATATCCATTTAATATAAACCAATTAACTCCTCGCCAGCACAACACTATAAAGCTGAGAGTGCCACAGAGGCGCAGTTGGAAAATGAGCTGACAAATATCAGAGAGCATTGCACCGCTTGTTCAACAGGATTAATGGAGCGAAGCTTGAAAGCCACGCTATGTTTTCATTAATAAACCATATGATCACATGAATAATGAAGAGCTTGGTCGACTGTTTTTTCACAAACAAGCCTTAAAGACGCCGTTGGCTCACTCCCATCATCATCAGTGCCATTTTCTGATCTTCACACAGCTCCTTATGAGGCCAAAATGTCCACACTTTCTCTGTGAGCCTGGCAGAATATTCATGTTAATGCAACAGGGAGAAGGAGATTGATCTTATCAGTTGTTTGTGTCATACTGTATGGGGGAAGCAGTTCAGTAGCAAGACCTTAGGTATTGCATTTTAGCAAACGAAAGAAGCAATTGGTCAATTAATTGAGTAGGCGATCGACAGAAATAGATGAACATTTAGAGGGATAATACAGTGATTCAGCAGTTATCCTGACTTTCAGTGACTAGAAAGGGCCACACTCCAAAATAAACTGGATCGTACATTTCCCATAACCCCCAACCTAATAAGCGTCTTTCATTAGACCCTCTTTAACCCTTACCCTTTTTTTTTTATTTAGATTATGGGCAATTTGTCTTATTTAATTTAAACTTTACCATTAACTATTAGTGTATGTACAGCTCATGTTTTCTGCTAATCTAACATTAGCACTCAACCTGCCAATGCAGTTTGTTGCCTCTCAAATACGTTTTGTTTTTAGTCTTCTATGAACATTTATATAAGATTTATGGCATTTTGACTGTAGGTCGAACAAAACAAGTAATTTGTAAAGAGCCTTTTTCACTATCCTCCTACACTTTCTTAATTTATTTATTGTAAAAAAGAAAAATAATCGTTTAATTGTGAAAAAGATAGCAGCATTCCACTATTTAATTTAAGATTTTGTATAATATTATTATATTTTCCATGTACATAGTTTACTTACTTATTTACGCCAGCAAGAACACTGTAGCTATTAGATATTATATTAGATATTAGATAATAAAGTGTTTGTATTGAATCAGGTTAATAATAATAATTGTTGATGTGAATGTGTGGGTGGCCATGCTACACGTTAGCTGCTGTTTCACAGAGAGTGGAACCATATTAGTAGATGACACATTGCAGGCTTGTCTTCCCCTCTGCAGGTTTTACATGACCTCCCGTGTTTCTAATGGAGTGATAAATTGCAGGGCTTTGTATGACATGATCATGATCTTCTGCACTTTACCTTCCCATCATTACTGAGGGCCTCGTCCTTTTTGCTCTTCTCCAGGTCTGACGAGGAGACACATTCAATGCTCTCCTCTGTAGTGGCTTCAAGGTCGGTCTCCTCCGACAATGCAAACCTCTTCTTTGCTGCAGAGAGACCAGATACATATAAAGGGGAATCTTTAATGCAGTTTTGAGCTTTATAGTTTGCAATATATCTAGCGGCAATGACAGCAGCAGCAGCAGGCGAAGAGCTGGCAGAAGCCCACACACACAAGCAAGGGCTTTGATCAATGGCTGGCCAGATTTACTAAAACATATCTGCAGCCAGAGTGGATGCTGAAAAAAAAGAAAATCAGCAGTGGTGGATAATGACATCTTTTCTCCAAGAGGTATGGGGAGGAGGAGGATAGAGAGGAAGAGAAGGCCTGGAGTGTATGAGGAGTAGAAAGGAGATTGAGTTTCTGTGTGGGACAGAAAGAGAACGACGGAAAAGTATTTGTTGATGCAATTTTGTGTGCATGTGAGTCACCTGGCAACGCCTCCGACTCCTCCGCCTTGCCCTCCTCATCCTCCTGGTCATCGCTTTTCTGCTGCTGGGTCAGCTGGTGACACACATCGAACGCCTGACCCACGGTGCGCACGATCCTCATGGCCTGGGACTGGAAGGGAGGACACAGTGAGATAGTGTGTGTGTGTGTGTGTGTGTGTGTGTGTGTGTGTGTGTGTGTGTGTGTGTGTGTGTGTGTGTGTGTGTGTGTGTGTGTGTGTGTGTGTGTGTGTGTGTGTGTGTGTGTGTGTGTGTTGAGAGCAGAGGCGGGTTAAGCAGCTGTGAGGCACAGCAAGGATAGAATCAGAAATGAGAGGGCGCAGTAGGGGGGGATGGGGGGAATGAGGTGCCAGAAGAGTTGCACAGGAAGTGGTTAGATCAGTGGTTCTCAAACGTTTTCTGTCAGGCCCCCCCTTTGGAGAAAAAAAAAAGTTGGGCCCCCCCAACACAAATAGTCACGTAATGGGCCAAGTTAACATTTATTAAAATACATCAATATGAACGTGAGCATTCCTTTAAAAAAAATAAAAAAATCAGTGATAATAAAACAATGCTCCATAAGTCTGTGTGCTCAAAAAAAAAAAATACATAATACAATTGTGCAATCCCTTTGCTAGAACAATGAGTTATAATACTTTGCCACTTTGCAATCTGTGCAAAAAAATGAAAAGAAAGAAAATGCTGATATTTGGTAAAAAGGTGTCTTATCATTAGTGGCTGCAATGAGCCTGTTTTGCACTGCACATTTCTTCAAAACGGGGTTGCAGGCTCAGTGGCGGAGCCAGAGATTTCTTTTGGGGGTGCTGTGGGGTAGCTTGACGTTTCATAGAGGGTGCTCAAACATGTAGGGTTTCCCATTAATGTACCGGGCGCGACAGTGGAATTTTCTACTGTAACAATCCCCACGCACATACACAGTGTACCCGCGACAGTTACAATGAAGGCTCGATAATCAGCTCACGGCATATAGGTGTAAGCAGGGGTAATGTGCTATTTTTATAAGTGGGGAGTGGACCTAACATTGGGGGGTCCGGGGGCAAGCTCCCCCGGGAAGGATTTTTTTTTAAATATTGAAGTTGAAAGCATCAATCTGGTGCACTTTGAGAACAAAATGAAGAGATCTATGGACTGTTTTTCATGTATTCTCTTATTTTTTTATAACTATAATGATCATATAAATCATGACCAAAACGTTTGAGACCCGGCCACTAACTCGCTAGCACCAGAAGTTAACAACAACGATCTCCGGTACCGGCGCGCTCTCTCTCTCTCTCTCTCTCGCTCGCGCACGCACACAAAATGGCTCGTTCCACACACACAGAGCCGAGCTTGAATGAAACACAGAGACCCAGACGTACTTGTACTGTACTGTATCATATTATTTTTGAATCAATAATCTTTTTTTTTTTTCAAAACCATTTTTCCTCCTGATCTCTCGAGCCTGTCATGCCTCTGCGCCCCCCCCCCACTTTGAGAAACACTGGGTTAGATGAACATGTGTGTGTTGGAGCACACGTAAATAGAAAGAAGATGAGAAATAGAAGAAGGATGAAAATGGGAGCAAGTGGAAATGAAGGCAGGGGGAATCATGAGGGGAGATAGAGACCAATTTAAAGTCAGAAGATATCACAGAGCTTCACCTGCCCGTCCTTGTCTATCTGCTCTGCACACATTCGCCTGTCATAGTGAAGGATTGGTCGATTTCAGAGGCATGCAAGTAGACTTGAATGCATAGGAAGTAAAATAAAGTGTTTTGTTATTTCAGGAGGCTCAGTACGTGAGTCAGTCATCAGGTCAATAAAAAGGAAAAGTTTAATTTACAGTAACTCAAAAATGAGCAAACTGTTCTTTTAAAGGGGACATATCATTCTTGATTTTAGGTGATATAGTATTTTGGGTTTCTAGTTTATATTGTTTATCTGCTTTATTTTTTCCAAAAACACAATGTTTTTATCATACTGTCTGTTTGAATATACCTGTATTCACCATCTGTCTGAAACGCTTTGTTTTAGCGCCTGTCTCTTTAACCTGTTCCACTCTGAGCCTGTTTTTCAGGTCTCAGGCTCGAAAATGACATTCCCAGAACAAATGACCATATCTTCCCTTCTAAAAGGGTTAAATTAATAATCTTTGTTCTCAAAGTAATGATAAACCTGTGAGTTGGATGTAGAAGTGTCAGAATCAATATGGATGTTTTTTATTTTAAAGAAAATTCAGATTTTACATAGTAAAAAACTGTAAATTATAGTGTCCGTCCAAAAATTATTTTTTACAGATAGTGAAAACTACCCTTGGATGATGGGTTAGTAGACTAAAAGCTTTAGGAATCCAAAGTACAACATATAATAAGTACCCTGTATCAAGATTGATGCAAAACAAGTGAAATTTGACCTTTTTAGAGAGATTTAGCCAAAAACTGGGCCATCTGGGGTCATTTGGGTGGATTTGACCTATCTCTGGCCCCCCTTGCTCGATTTGGTTGGTTGACATACCCTTGTGACCGTTAGAGCCAATAGAATCGAAGGGGGAGGCTCCCACCCAGACACGTTGTAAAGAAAAAATGTGGTTGCTTCGCGTGTGGAAAACGAAACCAAACTGGAGGAATGTCTCCTTCTGGAGTTTGGAAACTAAAACGCAGTTGTATTGCTTATGGATTATCAGAAATAATTTCAAAGAAGGCACAGACACATAGGATGAACCTATGGATTAACTGCAGCATCGTTTTTTTATCGTTTTAATGCCATTGAAGACCACTTTTGACCAAGGTAAGCCATATTTACGTGTTTAGCTTCTTAGCTCCACATGTGATGATGTACGCTTTCGTTTAGAGCGTCGCGAATGTTTATCACTGAGTGTTGAGGAGGGCACCGGTAGATTCAGTGTCTCCACGACACCAAAAAAGAGTGGTTGGTTGTGCATCTAGGATAAGTAATAAGGGAGTTAGAGTGAGTTTAGTTGCCTTAGTATGTTACGTTTTTTTCGCTTGAGGCTAATTCAGAGGCTGAGTGCTAGCAATGTGGGGTTTTTTTGAAAAAAAAATTAAAAAGATCAGTTAGCTGAGTTTCTTCCCGTTACATGGATATAACACATTCATAGTTTTATTCAATATTAAGATTCCTTAGACGTTGTTTCCTGCAAATGACGCGTTTATCCGCCCGGTACCGGGGGGAAGGTGTGAAACAGGTTAAGAGCGCCTCCCGGAAAACTTCTGTCTGCTCTGATTGGCTTGCAAGAAATAATGTAGTGCACTTTCGTTGGTAGGTCCATGGGTGTATTAAGAGAACTGGAAACGAATGTAGGGGGAAAATAACTTGGCTTAGCACATTTTACAACTTCCTCATTCCTTTTGAATTGTTAGAACTGGGTCTTAATGTATTTTAGAGCTTAATGGAATGGTCGATTGACGGATAATTTTGATGATTAATTCGAGACTTTAACTAGTTTCAGCTTCTCTATTGCAAATATGTGCCTTACTTTGTCTAATGTGAGAATAAATCAATATGGGCCTGTTGGTCATACGCTATTATGATGTTGCACCTTGAACTTGTATGGAATTGTAGACATGAATCAATAATGAAAATAATTGTAAGTTGGAGCCCTATTGCTTTTAAACGTCCTCCATAGATAATCAATATTGTTATCACATAATGTAAACAATTGATTGTACTGGCTCAAAAGAGGTTATTATCAGTGTTTCCCAAGTTGAACACACAGGAAATAAAATTCAATGCGGCTTTTTGAGACAGTTGCAGTTATTTTCTTAATTTTTCTAAAGCCCTAATATGCAGTCATGTGGCAGCCTCCTAACTCCTCTATATTGAATAGTGGCAGAACCGAGGGTTGAAATAAACGTGTTATTGTCGTCTGCCTCTGGAGGCCGATCCTGCCTGAGGCATTCAGTCAATAAGTCAAGGAAAGTCAAGCCTGAAAGCAGTTCAATCAAGTGAAAAGGCGTAAAAAATAACACCGCAATAGAGTCATGAAATTGATTTATGGAATTAAAGTAGGCTCCATAGAATTACATTTTGTTTGCAGTCCCTGTATACCCTGGATTGTTTGTTCATTTATACACAATGCTGTTAAAAAGTGAAGAAAAACAGCTCTTTCACTTTAAATTCTGTTATAATGCACGTATTATATATATATATTATATTCTTGTTGTACTTACTTGGTTGTACATTTTTTATATTTATATTTTAAGGTTAACGTTTTTTTATTGTATAATGCATTTTAAAATATTGTTCAAAAATGTTATATTATTTGTTCCTTTGTCCCTCTGTTAACAATTTCATTCCTCTATTGTTTTTACATTTGCCCCATTATACAAATTCCTTGTATGTGTAAACCTACTTGGCGATACACCTGTTTCTGACAAAACTTCTCATTTATAATAACTCAAAAATTAGCAAACTGCTTCTTTAAAGGGGACACATCGTGCTTATTTTCAGGTTCATAGTCTTTTGGGTTTCTACTACAACATGCTTTATTTAAAAAATAATGTGTTTCATATTGTCGGTCTGAATATACCTGTATTCACCTTTTGTCTGAAACGCTTAGTTTTAGCGGCTGTTTGTTTAAGACCCCATACTGAAAAAGAACAATCTTGTGTTTATTTCTTTAGGAAGTTCCATGGATGCAGAGGGAAAATTACTCCGGATTTGTAGTTAGGCATTTCCTAACTTTTAGCACCAAAGGACTTCTCAAGAGTCCTTACTGGGTCGTTAAATTCGCAAAGAAAATAGGAAAAGATCTGCTGATTTACATACATCTCTTTTCAATAGAAGCCAATGGGAAGGAATCTTTCGAACATTTTCTATAAAGCCAGACTCACTTATTGGGGGCTAGGGTAGTATTCACGATATACAGTTTCTGATGTTTCTCTCCCAAGGCCAAACACAAAAGTCTCTGACATCTGAGCCCAGCTGTGACAAAAATAAATCAAATCTCCTCCTATCAGCGGCTCCATCTCCTCCTACTTGAAGCGCACATGCTTGCTGCACCCAGATAAGGCTCCATGGCCCCCGGGGCTGTAGTCAGGCACCACTTGCCGTGTCCCTGACGCTGTAGTGGGTGTTTGTTCGGCATTGGTGAAAATGTCTCCAAGCACCGAGTGTAAACAGCCCCTCTTCTTTTCTCTTCCCACCAGAATGATTAGTATTCAGCTTCACTAAGTCACTGTCAGTCTGGTATCCATGGTGAGGGTAATGGAGTCCACCTCACTGATGCTCTGTCTTTTACGTCAGCTCGATATGCCCATATGAGCACATTCATAAGCATTTAAGCACATGAGGGGTCTATCAGTCAGATTCATGCGGGGTCCAACAGGACAATACATCACCCAGACACAGCCATAATGTCATCATTAGCAGTTATGCGCACAGCACGGTGCTGAAAACAAAAAGGAATGATTGACTTGCTGTGTATACTGGAAGGATAAAGCTGGAGATCTTCTGCACTTTCAACAAAATCCATGATAATACCAAAACCAACAATGTGTTTGTCCATCTCTTAATACTTCCCAACTTCCACGGCCTGTCCTCTTCCTTCCCCCTGAATACGTACATTTTTAAAGGAATAGTTTGACATTTAAAATATTATTTAGATTTCTTGATGAGTTACAGGACAACATTGACACCTTTACGTTTTCACGTTACAGGTTAGCTTAGCTTAGTACAAAGAATGGTAGCAGTGTGAGACCTGTAGCTTTTCCAAAATGTGACAAACCCTACTACAAGTATGCCCTTAGCTAACTAGCTATAATATAAAGGGGCTATTGGCCACGGTCAGAGCATATCTAGGAGAAAGACTCTGGGCCAGGGTTGCGTGCTTATGGCTCTCAACATGGCTCCATTAGCCAACTGCTGTCTGTCAGTCAGCAGGATTAGGGAATAACTAATGTTCTGATTTGTGTGACAGTTGGAGGAAGGGTGAAGCATGGGCTGAGGAAGAACCCATTACATTTTGGAGTGGCTCTAAATCACAGGGAGGATTCACAATGTATGGGTTACTTTTTGTTAACATTGCCAGATTAGCGCAGTACTCGTGTAGGAATGATTGTGAAAAGTTGCTAAAGATTCAAGTCAGAACGACAACTCGAAAAATAGATATCAATGGTATGTTTACAGGCTCAATGCAATTAATACCACATGTCATCTTTGTAGCGTCCATGTTGTTTCAACAGTACGATTTAAAGCTAATACAAAAAACGAAGTCAGAAGTCCTTATAATAAACAAACCAAAGTTAGAAGAACGCCAATGTTGTTACCAAAAGACAACTTAGATCTCATAAACAAGTTGGAGAAACGACTTTCAACTCTGAAAGAAATGTGAAAGAGGTCATTTGAACGCACCATTATCCATGGCGGAGTTGTCCTTGTGTTGCATAATGGATTAGAGTACATAATATATATCGGCTATAATGCAATACAAGTTGAATTTAGCACCGCAACACCATCGTCAAAGGTTTATGATTGGAGGCAAATTATGAATTTGACAGAACGTGTCATAATGACCAATGTCAGTTCTTACATTACACTACATTGGCTTACGAAGCACCTCTACACCGTTGGCCATGCCTACGGAAGCAATTCAGGGTTCTGTATTTTGCTCAAGGACACTTTGACATCTTGACTGCAAGGCTAGGGATCGAACCACTGACCAGAGCCAAATCACACCGGTTTAGACTTGTACACTGGACCACACCATCAAAGAAGAAATCGGCTAGAAACTCCATAAGCTTCAGCTACACAGACAAATACTCGAAGCATCAATTGATTGAACAGTTACACTTACTTTCCTCTTTGACTTGAACACATTGCAGCGGAAAATGTTGCTCTGTCCTTCTCTGGCGATATAACTGAAGATCTTCAAGTCTTGGGCGTCATGTGAGACATAGAAGATCCTGTTAAAAGCAAGATGACAGACAACATTTCAATGAGTTGGTTACAAATTGCTTAGTTTTTTTAATTTGATTTGAACACCTACCTGTAGATGGGATCCTGTGTCACCATGACTGTATTCTCATCCCATGACCACCCTTTTCTCTGTCCCAACACAAAAACACATTGACGGTTAAAAAACGAATATTTTCAAAAAAACGAAAAGGAGTATTTTAAAAGTCACAAGACTGACCTTCCTCTTTTTGCGCAAGATGACTTTGACATAATCAGTGGACACGACAATGTTGACCTTCTTTTTCTTTATATTCTTCAGTTTGAATTCATACTGCAAAGGAAAAACGACATTTAAATTAACATTCCAGTTTGGAATTGAATATTATACAAGGTGTGACACACAGGCCCGCTGAAGGTAAAGCTCTTTACACAAGATAAAGGCTATATTGGAACAGAGGGGAAGGGATCATGCAGAGAGGAAGATATTTTTGACAATCTTCTTCTCCTGGGAAATGTGAGATTGAGTAAACACTGTCAGATTCTTGTCCCTGGGAGCGGTTTAAGCTTTCAAAGGCAGCGTTCCCAGAGGGAGGCAGAATGTGTGGGACACTTTCATCCCTCTCCTTGATTAACCCTAGAGCGCGAACTCCTCTGCAAGCTCAGACTCAAACATGTAAGGGCCCAGTGATCTAAGAACCACATGGATTTTTGCGAAATAACGCGCCATGCTTTGAAAACACAGCGTCCAACATCAGATGATTAATTGATCAAGTGGAGTTCTGTGAAATGTGTCTGAAACGAACTGCCGCCCGCTCGGTATTGGATATTCTATGTCATCTTTCTTTGGTTTGTGTAAAAATAACAACCTGCTGCCGTCTTGGAACTCTCTTTTCATTCGTATATTGACATTTCAAAATAAAATGTCACAGAAAGTAAAGAAAAGGCGCAGAATTTGGTGATGTCGATAAGGACAATAATGAGAGGTAGTGAAATTCCTAAAAAATGAATAATTTTGATAACATTTTTTAAATTCAACCACTGATGTTTGTCAATATCTAGTAAGATAAGGTAAGCTAAGGTAAGGTAAGGTTAGGTATACAATGTAGGACATTATACTCATTAAACAACAACTTTATTCTTGTTATATTCCTTTTCTATTCTAAGTCCAGTGGTCTTTAAATGAATTTGTATACATTTTGAATCATTACGTGAATAGGTTCTATACTGCAGGGACAATTAAAGCAATACCTCCCCAAAAAATGACACCGACATTCACATAGGAGTGAATCATTTCGACGTGGTTCTGGCAGGAAAGCATGAAATGTGAAAAATTCATCTACAGGAGAGTAATTGAAAATCATTTGAAAGTAATACAGAATGCCAGAGAGCCTTAATGCATTACATTCTCAGTCATTTATTTATTTGTAATTATCTCCCAGCGCATGAATTTCTGTTTAGGTTTAAATAGAAAAAGACAGTTCCGCCATAAAAATGTCCTTAAAATGCAGGAAATGTGAGTTTGACATTTCAAATGTTGACGTGTCTCCCCCAATATTGAAGCGAAACCTCTACTGTACGTCCTTGAGAAAAACGATTATCGTAACCGACAGCGTGCCTCATTAGAATCTCCATTGGTCCCTTATTCCTCATTCGCTCTCATCTGGTTCATCCGTCTTATTGTTGTGTGGGAGGATTCCTCCGTTGTAGTTGCCCAGGTGAAGGACACGACTCCCACAATGTGTGTCGCAGGCTAATGCAAACACATGCAAAGTGCGGACCATTCGTCTTTCTGCTGTCAGAGGGCGATGACGTGGAAAACAGAAGGTTCAAGGTTCTTTATTTTGTCATACGAACATAGCTACAGAGTAATTATGCCGATTAAAATCTTGTGTCACAGGCTTCTCCAACAGTGCAACACAATAACACAGATAAACAGAAAAATATAGTGCAAGTAAATAGTAAATACAAAAAGAAAAATAGTTTAAAAAAGTGAAATAGTGAAATAGTGCAATAAGAGTCTATATGCAAGTTATTGGAATGATATATTAGAGAAATAGAGAAATAATTACTAAGTAGCAGATGAATGTTATGGATGTTGTTTCAGCAGTTCAGTTGTTTAGCAGTCTTATTGCCTGTGGTATGAAACTGTCTCTGAATCTGGTGGTTTTAGTCCGGATGCTGCGAAGAAGGTGTTCATGTTACATTTTCATGCATCATCCTCAGTCCCCAAGCACAACTAATGCTCTACAGGTAGTGACAACTCTCCTGTCATTCTCCCTCTAAGCTGCTGTGAGTTAGTTAGCTTTGAATATTAGTTTGTCTCCCAAGAAGCAGAGAGTATTAATAACTGCGCCAATGCAGCGCTCATAAAGAGCCCAGACTCTTTTAAACACATGCTTTAAAATGTAATCTCACCCACTTTAAATATCACATTGCTGTTGTATTTGCATTTACATACTTATTTAGTCTTTTAATGCGGTTTTATTTATTATTTTCCGTAAATGTATTTGTTTTTCTTGCCAAAATCCATTTTGCAAACTAAGTTTTCAGAGCAGAGCTGCCTTAGAAAGAGACATTTCATTAAAACATGTTTCTTCACGGCTAGATGAAAAAGATAAATTACAAAGATTTTGCCACTAAGGATGGGAAGATAGGGGGTTTATAACAGATCTTGAAAAATAAACATTTAACTTGATAAATCTGTCTAGCTCCCTATCATGGTTAAGAACTGTTGACAATCAATTAAAGGGGCCCTATTATGCTTTTTGGAGTTTCCCTTTCCTGTAGTGTGTTATAAAGGTTTTTGTGCATGTAAATGGTCTGCAAAGGATAAAATCCCAAAGTTCCCTCCAGAGGGAGTGTCTCTCCCACACACTGCTTGGGAACGCCTCCATTGGACTCCTTTGTTTACTTTTGTTACATAGTGACATCACTATGTAACACTCACACTTCTATTGGCTAGTGCTCCAACACAGTGTACATGATAGGGTAAGCTTATATCTCTAAATGGTTCACTAATCACAGCAGAGCCGGCCAGCTAACCAATCAGAGCAGTTTCAAATTAAGAGGTGCTGCAGCACAGGCAGTATGAGTAAAATAAAGACCTTTTTGAACATTAAAGAATGGAGACATGTCACAGTAGAGGTACAAAATACAAATATAAAACCTTAAAACATTTGCATAATAGGGTCCCTTTAAGATATTTTCATAATTTTTTTTGAAATTATGTCATTCAACACAAGTTTAAGTGCCTTTTTTTAGACTTTTAAGCGCATTTTGATGGTTATCTGGATGATATTGTAATTATTGTGGGTGGAATGCTCATAACAAGTTATTTTAATTCATCCCATCATGCCCATTGTGTGGTTTTTCTTTCCACATTTGTATCAAAAGCTTCTTTCTGAGAAATTTGATAAAAATCTGACATTTAGAAATCTTCGAGATTCCAATCCGGAAATCTGTTTTTGAGTCAGGAAATGAAGCATTATAGCTTCTCTAAATCTTTCCCGGTACAATCAAATGGCCATTATACTGCACTGTACACGAGGGATCAGGATTAAGTGCGTCCGGGGTGTCACTGGGGTTGGGAGCGACCTCTGACCGACTCAATTACTCTAGTGTTGGATTAGATCCAACAGCTGACAAGCAGCTAAGTCCCCTCCTCTGAAACATGATGTGTAATACGTGGCCTTGTCTGGCCTAAAAGAAGGGCTCGAGAGCTGTTGTTTTTTCCCTTGAACAGTATCACATATAAACCTGCACGCATTACCTCTCCTCAGACATAAAATCCCTGAGAATCCTGCCGTGATTTAAACCGCTCCTGACAGCCCACTGAATCTGCCGAGTGTGGAGTTTTACGCAGACTGGTGATTTGTGTGTAAAGAGGATGTTGAAGAGAGTAGGGAGCACAAGGAGAGACATAAAACACAGGGGAAAAAAGAGTTAATGTGTGTGCACCGGCATCAATCCTAATGTGTTGGGACTGCTTGACAAGGGTCAAGATCAGTGGCGGGGTTCAGAGTCACATATATTTCTTACTCTGATTCTCCTCATCGCAGCGACGATTTCCATCCGGCTGCCGGGGCGACCCACCTCCAGACTGCCGATGTACTGAACAGTGTAAGAAAGAGGTTTTAGGATTGGTAGTTGGGCTGGCAGATTGGTGATGACCATTGTAGTTGACTGCTTGTTCATAATTCTCTTTAATAATCCTTAAGGCTGCAACTAGCTATTCATGTTATTGATGAATATCCTATTGATTACTTTCTCGATGAATCATTGATTTGGTCTATAAAAAGTCAGAAAGATTGTGGAAAAACGTCAGTACGTTTTCCGAAAAGAATAGATATATTATTTTGTCAACAGATCAAAAGATATTCAATTTACTGCAGCCCCAGTTCTCCAGTTATAGGTTTTTCAATATATAAGGGAAATAAACAGTCAGTATACATCAATATACAAAGAAAGAAACACATCTCAATGCAAGCAAGGTAAAAAAGATGAAACAAATCTAAATTGGGCCCAACATTCAATCGATTAATCGAGAGAATAATTGTCAGACTAATAGTCAAAAAACAATAGATACACTTTATTTGCAGCTCCAGTTGTGAACTTATGGATTTGTCTAAAAAAGGGGGGAATGAATAATGCCTCGGACATCAAGTCATCAGTTAAGGAAACACATCTCAATGCAATCAAGGTCAAATATTATAAATATTTTAAGCCAACATCTAATCGAGACAATAATTGTTAGACAAATGGTCAAACAAACAATAAAATAAACTTTATTTGCAGCCCCAGTGCTGAACCTATGTAAATAAGTTAGTAAATACAAAATAAAAATGTGTTTGACTCAACATCTAATCGGTTAATCTAGAAAATAATCGACAAACTAATAACAAAAATAAAAAACTCCAAAAATGAATCAGAGAAATAAATTATGTCAGCATACATCAAGCTATCAGCTATATCTCTATGCAAATATGGTGAATTAAAATCAATGGCAAACATTTCAAAGTCACACAAAGTGGATAAAATATCTCAAGTATTATAATGTACTTTTGAACACAGAATAAACCCATGGATGGAAATATCATTGACTCAGTATCAGTGGGATGTCATCTCAACGCTGCACACACACACACACACACACACACACACACACACACACACACACACACACACACACACACACACACACACACACACACACACACACACACACACACACACACACACACACACACACACACACACACACACACACACACACACGCGCTGCCACACAGAAAGTATCTGTTGCAGATCTCCTTACCTTTGCCTCGAAGCACACCCCATGCTTAAACACCTCGTCGTTGTGCATGGGGATCCTCAAATCGTGCGCGTCATCCACTAAATTGTACTTGGTTACCCCTGGCATCGCTCTGATGATCGCTGCCTCGCCTCCGACTCCCGTTTTACGACAGCGCTAGAGCACCTGCAGATATGCGCATCTCCTCCGGCGCTGACTGTCCCCCGCACTGTCCCCTCCGTCACTCCGGAGGTCATCCGGGTGGATCGGCACGCAATCGGCGCGTTTTTTTGATTCAATTAAGGCGCTGATCGGTGATGACCCCTTCACGGTCTGAGGCAGCACAGCAAACACACCGCCTCCGAGGTCCCTGTGACGCACGGATCTCAACACCTGATTGTTTTTTCCTCGAGGCACCGCGGCACCAAACTGGCACTAATTTATTATAGCGAGCGATTCATATTCAGCTGCAGCGCGCGTCTATTAGCCGGTAAACCGGGTGTGTGAGGACTAACAGATGAAGACAGAGTGTGGTTGTGAGGAGGACTCTATCAGCACACAAACTGGGTGTTTGTGGGACACCTAGTGGCTTCACAGGGAACAACCCCTAACTGACTGCTGGGGGATTTACTTAAACTCATTCATTCTAAAAATAAATCCTAAAAGTACAAGATGAAAAAGGATTATCGGCACTGTGATATCCTGGAATATATATTTTATAACTTCTTATATTACTCTGATTCATGACTGATGGTTGAAATGATTCACAATCTTGCTCCTCCTCCTGTTAGAACAGGGGTGCCAATATCTTTTTTTCCATTAAGAGATAAAGCAGAAAGTTAAAGGTGGGGTAGGTAAGTTTGAGAAACCGGCTCGAGATACACTTTTTGTTATATTCCATGGAATGCTCTTAACATCCCGATAGCAATGAATATCTTAAGTGCTTTGACAAAAAATCCATAAAAAAATGTCATCTGTGGAAGCCGTAATACTGTAAAAAGCACGACCAATCATTTTAGCCGGCCCGGCTAAAGTAACTGGATGGCCTACCTGCCTGTCAGCCTTCCATCTGTGCACAAACTTACAGTATCTCGTGCCCTCATTGGTCATGTGCGCGTTCGTGTGTGTTGGAGGAGGGGCTCTGTAAGGAAGTGGCAGATTTTCTCCGGTTGTGTATTTTCAAATTCTAGCGATATCGAGCTGGTTTCTCAAACTTACCTACCCCACCTTTAATGGAGAGATATGTGCTACAGTGTGATCCTACCTATTATTTTGTTACCTCACTTGTTCCAAACGGACTTCCTGCCCACAGTGTCACTCTGCTTGGATCAACACACATAATAAATGATAAGGGATTGTACATATTGAAAAGCAGTAATACTTCAGATAAAAACAAATTGTATAAAAAGTGGTCTTTATCAGAAGCACTTTTTACAAATGTATTGGTTGCAGAAACATACAGTTGGCTAAATGTAACATGCCTGGCCAACTTCGCGCCACAGGCCCCACTTTATGCAGCCCTGTCCTAAAAGATGCCCGGCCTTCCCAGTCACATGCATTAGGATTTGAGTAACTAATTGGTAAAGTTCAGAAAGACAGCCTTAGGTCAATTTGCTTTCTCAGTTAAAGTGTTTGGGAGGTGGAATTTCACGCCCACAAACATCCGAGTCTCAGGAAGCTGCGCAGTGTTTAAAACCAGCTTTGGCTAAAGTCAGCATATTGCTGTCACCAGCAATGATGCCTTACTTGCCTCTCTAAGCACAAACTCAAGGGTCCAATATGTCAGGGACCCTCAGTTTGAAGTGACAGCTAACATGTTCTGCTTGTTGAAGTCACAAAGAGACACAGAACTACCACAGAGACAAGAATATACCACCATAAAAAGCAAATCATAATAAAAATAACAAGCAAAACAACACAAAACAACCAAGTTGATGCAACACAACCAAAAAGAAACACAAAACGACGAGAAAGGTAGAGAATGTCACAACTACTGGAGACAAAACAACAAAAAGGGACACACATGCACACACACACACACACACACACACACACACACACACACACACACACACACACACACACACACACACACACACACACACACACACACACACACACACACATTATCTGTCCGGTTGCCACCTGCAGTTTTCCCCTGTAGATCCATTTAGGAGGGTGAAATTACCCAGAAGCAGAGCTGGAACTATGATGCAGCAGGTCACATTAAATGAAACTTGCCCTGAAGGCTAATTTTGCAATATAGATTTAAGATAAGACAATTTGCTGAATTTGCAGAGATTTAGGGGAAAGAGGGATTTTAGGCCCTGGTTTTTATACCTCATGTGCATTTTCACTTGCTCAGCACTTTCAGAAGCTGATACAGGTTTGGTGAAGCACACTTTAGTTTGACTGTGGCTTCTGTCACGAAGAAGTGCAGCCCTTTCTGTTTTTGATTTCTTTATCTGTGTGCTTTTTTAATGTGATTCGAAGACCTGGCATCATAGTGGACGTATTAAGCTCATTATCAGGTTCATATTTGTATGTTGTGTCTCTCCTGTCACATGTTTACATGCTTTAATGTTCAAAAAAGTCTTTATTTGTATCATACTGCCTGTGCTGCAGCACCTCTTTTCACCCTCTGTCTGAATTTATTGTATTTTTAGAATCAATTTGCCTTCTGTACAATGTACAATCAATAATGCCTAACACTCATTTAATAGTTTAATCTACAAATCACTTCCCATGATGTATTTGTTTTCATTTCTTTACTTATGGTTCATTAGTAGGATGTATTTTACTGATGGGATTATACCCTAAAAGCTTTACAGTTATATTACAATATAAGTCTGGACATGAATCTAATGCAAATTATTCAGCCAAAAACATTATGATATTTCACTGATTTATAAAGTGGGAACTTAAAGTTCTTATAAGAAAAAATAAATAAATGTGCAAACCATCCATCTGAGGTTTTCAAAGGAAACGTTTGTTATTAATGAAAAATGCTCATTCTCTTTAAAGAAGAGCAGAATAAAAACACCACTCTCATGTCTGTACAGTTATGATGCTAAAGCCAAGAGATGCTTAGCTTAGCATACCTTTCTGAAAGCACCCCTTGAGCTAAATTATTATCAACTTTTCTCTAAATACAACATTTACATTTTATTACACTTTAAAGTAGCTTAAGGACTTATTGAGATCTGTTATTGTTAGTGTTACTCAATATTTGATCATTTTGTGGTGCTTAAAATTAGATGGTTTTAATCTGCACTTTATCATTTGAATACATTTTCGGTTACATTAACCTTTTTCAGCAAATCAAGCTCAGTGTAGGCTATGATGCTGATACTGTACACGTGACTCAACAGCAAGGCTGGTGTTCTCTCCAGTGGCGTCGCCTGGCCTGGGCATCCGGGGCTTTAGCCCCGAATGTTTTTTCTGTAGCCCCGGACAATTCTCCCTCAATAATATAATACATTAACCGTGCTTTACGTGAACCTCATCATGACACAAGAGAGGACGGCAGCACTGTAATTTCCCGTGTTCAGTGAATGCAACAGAGGCATGACACCAGACCAATCAGAGAGTTGCATGGAAATAAACGTGTGTCATTCAAGCTCGGCTCTGTGTGTGTGTGTGGCAATAGCGCATGTGAGAGAGAGAGAGAGGGGGAGAGAGGGAGAGGGGGAGGGAGAGACCGGTGTCAGCATGGACCGTGTTGTTAGCATCTGGTTAGCTAGCTGCACTAACGGACATAAGGAGCTGTTTGTTCCACAAGAAGCTGGAGGAGAGTCCTCTCCTCTCAGACTGAGAGACTCAGGTGAGCTAAAGGACTCTCTGAGTGTTTAGATAGTTAACTTTAGTCTAAGTTATCTCAGTGGGTCTCAAACGGTTTGGTCACAAATTATTCAAAAGATTATTTCCGCGGCACACCTTCATATGATCATTATAGTTATTAAAAAAAAGAGAATAAAGGAAAAACAGTTATGAAATACTATATGGCAGTAAAACAAGAATAGAGTTTAAAAGGGGAGTGATTAGTAAAATATCCATAAAGAAAAAGTACATCTGTTTACAGTTCTGCTTCATATGGGTGTTGAGAGAGGTATCCATAGATCTCTTCATTTTGCTCTCAAAGTGCACCAGATTGATGCATTTAACTTCAATATTTAAAAAAAAATCTTCCCGGGGGACCTTCCCCCCGGACCCCCCCTAGAGGAGGTGAGCCCCCCACTCATAAAAAATACCACTTTACCCCTGCCTATATGCCGTGAGCTGATTATCGAGCCTTCATTGTAACAGTCGCGGGTGTACTGTGTGTGTGTGGGGAGTGTTGCAGTGAAAAATGCCACTGTAGTGCCGCCGCCACTGTGGGCTAAGCCCCGAATGTTTTCAGGTCCAGGCGACGCCCCTGGTTCTCTCTCCCACCACTCGACGCTTATTTGACTATAGTTTGCATTGGATCTAGCTTTTAATGCACAAGTAAGACCAGTCTTTATTTAGTTAGCTTAGCTAATGGCCATTTCATGCAGAATATGAACCGGGTAGTATAGGAGAGAATTGACAGTATTTACACAAACCTCCTTGGACACATTATAGCTATGTGAGCATGTCAAATGTTTAATAGATCATTTACAGCCCCTGGCATGGTAGATGAACAATTCCCATCTGGCAACACTGACAAGGTAAATACAGTAATGAACCTGCAGAGAGTTACAGCCTGATCCTGCAATTCCCCTTTATGGAGCTTTACAGAATCTAAGCTCATTCTTTAGCCTTTAGCTGAAAATGTATTATTACAGTTCACTCTAACTGCTCTTACAGTAGTATTCAGCTGCAGCAGCAAGTTGTTTTCAGTGAAAGAGCCCTAGAAACCCAACTGTACACTACACTCAGGGCACCAAACAGCAGAAAGACACAGATAGAGACTAGCTGGGGGACATAGTGGAGCATTTAGCAGCTAAAGGGACTTCATCAAATGTTTAAGCTCCAGATAACAAAAAAGAGTCAGTTATTGCATGTTTAAATTGACAATCAATCAATTAATCAATCAATCAAACAATCAAACAAACATACACTGACTCAATCATCAATCAATCAATCAACTGATCATTTCATCAATCAGATTGTATTTATATTTCCCAACACCAAAGAAAAACGGGAAAAACTCCCCCCTTAAAAAAACAATAAATGGGGTTAAAAATGGAAGCAACCTCAGGGAGATTTGTATTCACTTATCCAGCAGATATGGAGCAACATTGGCATTCATTAGATGCCATGTTTGTTTCTACCTGATAAATAGGACTCTAATAAGCACTCTCCTTGGCCTCTGTCGAATCCTATAGGAACATATTTATCTCAACTTTGTTTGTCTGCTTTTGATGCTGAG